TAGCCTCTCCGTCTCCGGAATCAATCCGAGAGCAACGGCAACAGTCATCAGCGTGGGTTAGATTGCATTATATTATTATTGAGAGATCCGTGGACAAGCGGAAAGCCTTCTCAATTCTGAGAAGTTTTTAGCCCGCCAGAACCGTCCTTGCAGGGAGAGTGTCACCCCAGAGACTACCTCGCAATCCTGACTGGCCAGCAACCCAAGCACTGCCTGTGAGGAAATCCGCAAATGGCTTCGACAGCATCCAAAGGCCAGCGCTGCACAAAAATCCCAACCACAGGCCCATACCTCACCTTTGCACAGGGCCTGCGTGTTTTCTGGCGTTCCTGAACCACACAATCACTGAAAGATCGGAGGCCCCTCGCTTGGAGCAGCGTTTGGGGGTAAATGACTCGCTTGCATGGGGCTTCTTTGGATGCCCATTCGGGCTCCCCCGAAGCTTTTTCGGGGAGTCTGTTGCAGCTGCAAGCAAACCAGCAGATTGTATTCGCTGCGCAGTCGTTGTTGCTCTTCCAGCCTGTTTGCAAGAAGAGCACGGAATGCAGAGCTTCCGTTTCCGCGGTCGGCTTTCAAGTCGTCTGAAATGCCTCATGCTCTCTGGGAAATTGAAATGGTCAAGATCCATCAGCCGCACTTTTGAGATGGTGTGTGTGAGTCATGGCCTTATACTACACCGCCCTGGTAAGTTGAACAGAACATACAGAACACTGGTTAAGGCAGCAAGAACAGCTTGCAGCTGTCAGGTCACAACCTTCTGTGCGGTTGATGATGTCGATCTCAGTATGCCGGACAAGGAGCCGCTGCGAGCCTGTCCTTGGCTCTGTTGTTCGATAGTTGCCCCTTTTTGCTGATCAACGGGGTTGGCCTCTATGCGAAGACTCGGAAGACATGAAAATTGAGTTAGGTTCACGCACCCCGCCCACTAACGGGCGACAAGTTTTCAGCTCCTGCCAGCTCATTCAGTGCTGAATCCTCTGTGTACCCTTCGGCACCCATAATGAGCTACACCCTGTGTCTCTCGATGCAGAAGCAAACCTAACTGAACTATCCCATACCACGCGCCATGCCACTTCTACGGTTGCAGGAGGCACTTCGCTCCGGTTCGAGGGACAGCGAGGTGGGACCTGAAGTAAGTCTCCACGCCTTCCCAGCACATGAGATGGCTCTATCGGAATGCCAAGACCCATCTGACGCCATGATGCTGCTGGCATGTCCCCGTGCAAGTTATACTCCTCCCAAGTGACAATTTGGGAAGTTCAAGGTTTTCCTGGACCCCGATCGAGAGTTTGTGAAGACGCCCCTTGGTTGCCCTACTGCGGAAAGTAACATGCCAAGTGCAGGTGCAAACTGGCCTTCATCCTACTACCACCGAAAACCTCAGCTAGGTCAGGTGCATAATGTTCCATCTCTTAGCCGAGAAAAAAGGCTCAGATACACTGGAGGGCGTAGTCAGGCAGTTGAAGTGAGAGCCCAAGCTTTTAGGACTGCTGCAGGACGTGAAGTTTGTGGGCTGAGCTGCTTCAAGTTTTGGCAGGCTGTTCACTTGCAGCCGAGGAACCCCATCGTTGGCCTCACCAACGACATCGCCAAGCTAGTTTCTTGGCTCTGGGTATGGTTTGAACCTGTTTGAACCACCGTATAATTAGGTTGTGCAGCTACAGCTTGGGCACTCGCGGATTTTTGTCATAGCTGGCTGAAACGCTTAAGCACCTTGGTGCTGAAATTTTTGCGCGCGGTACAAGAACCTTGGATTCAGGTTCGTAGGATTCGGATAGCTGCAGATAGCTGTGGGCTGCAACTTCCTGGCCTGCAGGCATTCATTACCCAAAGTTGTCAAGATCATTGGAGCCAAGCCAGGTGATTTGCTACATCAATGGCACCGAGCCCTCCGAGGATGCTGAGCCTGCGCAAATTTGTTCGTTTGCGGGGGTTTGCTCTTCGACGAATGATGCACTCCGTATTTTCAGTCCGGGTTTGGCATTTTATTCTGCATGTCCCCTGCACCAGAAATCCAGGAATGCAGTCTATACTCGTACATGTTCAAGGCAATGTGAGCTGGGACAAAGCCTAGGGCGTTACGGTTTATACTAGAACTGACACAATTCTCGGATGTGCCACGTCATGGAAGACGATGAGAGTAACAAATGATAACGTTGTGAATTATGATACTCAATGGGAAAACGATACGGAACAGACCTCCAAAATGCAGTATGTGGGTAATTTGTATATCATATGGCTTGAAGCCTATGTCCGATCAGTGCCGAAAGAAAGTTCGGGGCTTTGAAACTCTGCAGTGATGTTGTCATTGCACTGGCGACCCCTCAAGCTGTCGTAGGAGCTGCTAACCGCGGTCTTCGGCGAGCCGTCCGGCACCACCTGACGCACCTTCACCGAACTCTTCGCGCACCTGGCGCCAACGTCCGGTGGCATGGTGACCTGCAGGGCTTCATGACTTGCAGCTTCAAGGCGGAGCACTACGGGCTCGAGTCTGGTATCTGCGGTTGCTAGGGCAGTCAACTTCTTTGCTGGGCATGACACAGTAGGGCTCACAAGTAGCGCACAGCCAGTACACAGAATAGCAAAGTTGGGTCTAGCGACAGCGGGTTGTGGAGCTTGAGCAGAGCTGGCTCGCCGGAAGCGCCCATGTTGTGGGCGAGGTCTGGTGCGCATTCGCTGAGTGGACAAAAGACTCGAGCTTAAGTTGCGCACTCATGCATGCACAGATACCTGAACGATTTGGCTTTCGAACCGTACAGCAACACATCCTTTCATGAATAATTCCCAGGAGTTTTTCTCGCTAGTCAGCCACGGAGGCACAAAATCCAGTGCATTGAAGCTACACGGCCGTTGCTGTTGCAGCGCTAATGGTGTATTGCATCCAGGTACAGTAGTTAACTGGATGCAAGGTTGGACAATTACTGTCAGACATGTAACTAGGTAGCATTTTTGCCAGCCAGCTGGACCGGAGAACTGGAGAACTTTGGTGCAGTACGAGAGGAGATCCGCCGTTCTTTGATTCTGAGTCTGAGCAAGATTCAAAGGTGAAAGAGCCTTGCTTCTTGTAATCTCGTCTTGCTGAACATGGTTTTTGAACTGGCTATTGGCTCCCATGAACCACTGGTCGCTCATCCTGCATTATGCACAACCGTCCGCTTTATTCCGGGACCAAGCCAAATTGTGCTTCGATTGCCTCTGTGGTGTTCGATACCCTGCCTCATCTGCCTGTGCAAAGTTGGCGCTCAGGGATGAAAGCTCCAGCATTTCAACTCCAGTGCAGGGACGATTGTTATGCTATAAACAGACGAACGCAGGAGAAGATCAGAATCAACTAGATCTGCATATCTGCAGCATGCTCCGGCATTCACACAGGATTCCCCCAGCCTGCAAGCCTGTGAAGAGAAGGCCACCTGAAAGCATCCTTACTTGTCGAGCCTTGAAGATGACCATTGAAAAGCCCCCCTCTATCGTCGTTCATGCAACATGGAGCACGCGGCGGCGCTGCTGGCACGATAGTGGGATGGCTAGCAAATCCTGCCCAGTGCGGCTTGCAACAAGGCTTGCATCCTCTGTTGTAGCTTTGCGCAAGCTTTGGGGGGTAGGTGTACAGATCCAGAACCTTGAGCAGTTGAGTATTGTTTCCAGAGTTCGCAGGGTCGGTCACTTGCAAGGCTATAGGAGACATGAGGATGCACCCTAATTCTGATTGCCCACGCAATCTGTTTGCGCACGTATGACAACTCAGCACGCACTTCGTGGTGTGAAGTGATGTTTCTTGAGAAAGGGGTTCATACCTGAAGTTCAAGGCAGCCAAGCACTGTCCGAAGGCTGCCGTCCACGTGCTTGCATCCATTATTGTCACCCTCCCAAGAGCCACTGCAGTAAATACCTCATCCACGTCATTCAACGCCAGTCATGAGTGCTTTGTGTTCGCTCGTCGCTGGCTCCTCCCATTCCAATTCAAGAGTTCTGCACAATATCTTGTGAATTCCCTGTTGCAAGAGGCCGCTGATTGCGCCGATGCAGTGCCTTGGCATGCACTTAGCATCGCCCGTGAGCACCGCTTGAAGTTCAAGCAGGCTTCAAGGCGTGCGGAGATTTTCGGGAGAACAGCCGAGGCCGGTGCTACAGCTTCCCCCGCGCTCTGGGCCCTTTGGGGCATTCGACACCTTTGGTTGGAGCTGGGGTGCTTGGTCTGCAAGAGGCCGAAGAAGTCTTATTATGAGACCCTCCCGCATCTCCCCCTAGCGCTGGTCAGCTATCTCAACCAACACGCACAGGCTGCTACCAGGTGATTTGATGCCACCAACTTGCCGCTCTTCCCTTTGAGATGCGAGATGATAACCAAGTCCGCCACTGCAGGCAAAGACCTCTCCATCGATGAGAACCTTCTCCGACTGGCACCTTGCTTGTGAAATTTATGTGTTGGACAGGCCATGGAGCAGCTCTAGAAAGGTGTAGTCAGTGTAGTCACCAGCAGCTACCGTGCCATTTTTTGAAGGTCGGGCCATAGTTTTTGTTTTCGGCGTTACCTGTATGAAGGCACCCACTGGGACAACGCAGAGAGCCCAATGCCGGTTTGTGTACACTCTACAAGCTTGTTTCTTGCATGTGGGAGTTGGACCATCAGGCTATTCACGGGCTTTCTTAAGTCAGCTGGAATAGTGCAGAACCTCGCAAAATCAAAAGCTGAAACACTGCTTCACTTATTTGTTTTCCTTCAGCGAGTGCAGAATAGCGCCTGACTCAATGCCATGCCCAAAGTCTGTACGTCGATGCTAGCAGAAAAGTTCTTGCCGACTGCCTACTGCGAGAAGGCACTCGCAGTGCGGTTCAACTGCCTCCGCGTGGCCAATTACACCTCAGGACGCTGCAGCGCCGTGGCAAGGGGCAATATATCATGCTGGAGGTTGTTGTGGAGGTCACTTCAATTCCTGGCAAACAAGGGCTGGTGCGAGTTTCACCATAGCCCACATCAAGTGTTATCAGCAGGTGCTATCATGACCCGCCCTCCGCGGCAGCTCAACGACACCCACGTCGCTATTGAGGCCGCTGCTTTGCCCCGAAGCAGGCTGTTGTTGTAGCTGTGACTGAGAAGTTCACCGGCAACAAGCACTGACAGACGCGGCGCTCATCAATGCGCTTTCTTTGATGCATGCCATTGTTGAAACTTGGGCAAACAGGCTTGACATACATCCATGCAAAACTGCCCGGGCAGACGTGGCATACAACAGGAGGCCTTCTTGAAAAGCATCTGGCAGCTACACTACTTTGACAGCTACACTGTGGCGAGTAGCTCGAGTACCCTATGAACAGAACAACGGATGTGGCAAATGTTGATATTATTTCTTGTGGTCTGAAGCCCAAGCCTGAAGCAGGTCGTGGGCTTCGGAATCAATGCGCCCCCTGGCAAGCTCTTAGATGGTATGATAGTGTGATTTGCGTTTGGGAGTCTAGGATGAGCAAGTGTGTGAGAAGATCTGGGTCTTCAGTTCCCTGGTGCTCTGATGGTTTGGACGTGACTGGGAATTAATGCATGCGCGGGTTATTTGCAGTTCTGTTTTGCCCTGGCAATCTTGGCAATGGCTCTGCAAGCCCAGCTTCACTTCCACTGGTGGGCTCCTTGCTGCAAGGGTCGCCTCTTGCAGTGCTTGAGCTACTTGAGCCTTTACAGGTAGCGCCCTAAGTCCCAAGCCCTTGCTGGCTTAAAGCATGCGCAGGCAGCAGGCAGCTCCTGTATCCAGTATTTGTGGCAGGTTTGGTGTAGTCTGGTGTTGTAGCTGTCACCCATTCTTTTGATGTCTTTTGATACTGAGGCCGCCTCGCTTCTCCCCGCGCAAGGCACAGGAAGCCAAGGTGCCCTGTTAAGTAAGACGAACGAGAAGATCTTAGGGCACACCAGGCGGGTAAGCTGCGTCACCATGACTTGACGATGAGTACTGCATGTGCAGTTTTTTATCGATAAGCAATTGCACATGCAATACCACTTGGTGCGCGAAGTGCGATGCCATCCTAAATGACCCTAAACCCTAACTGACCCTAAACCCTAAATGACCCTAAACCCTAACTGACCCTAAACCCTCAAACCTAAACCCTAAATGACCCTAAACCCTAAATGTACATGGTCGCTTCTTCTGGAGGAGAAGGAGGACCGC